TCCGCGGCGACGACAACACGAGAAATAGAAGGCTTATTATAATCGTCGTCGGAGAGCGATGACAATTCTAGTTCGGCCCGGGCACAATCAACAACGGCATGATGTGTGGAAAGGAAGTCCCAGCCTAATATGACGTCGTGTGAGCAGTGCGGAAACACGATAAATTCAACCACGTACAGAACGCCCTGGATGATTAACCGAGCCGTGCACGTCATAGAAGGGTTCACGTGATGCGCTGTTGCCGTACGAAGGGAGAGACCAGAAGGCGGAATCGTAACTTTTCTTAACTTGCGACACAATGCTTCACTCAATACAGACACGGCAGCTCCGGTATCTATTAATGCTTGAACGGGGATACCTTCAATCAAGACAGTTATTTCATTATTCGGTAGAGAACGAGGCCTTGTGGAGTTCGACGGTGGCGCAGTTCTTGCCTCCGGAACTGCGATGGTCAGTTTTCCGTTTGGGCAGGTGGTGCACGCCGAAGCATTGGTGAAGGCGAACGTCGGCGCGGGGAAGGCGATCGGCGTGGGTTGAAGGCGCGGCGGCTCGGCGGAGAAGTGTCCGAAGCTGCATGGAACGGCAGCGTCTGTGGTGGTTCTGTGGGGGCGTAGCCGTAGGTGCCATCAATAATGCCTGAGTGAGGGACGCGCCGGCGACAGAACCGCTCAACATGGCCAGGCTGACGACAGTAATAACAGATAGGTCTGTTATCCGATGTACGCCAAGGGTTGTTGGGAAGCGTTGAAGGACGGCGGTAAATGGGAACATGCGAGCCTGCCGGTACGTGTGTTGCGTAGAAGGCGTTCGCTTGGTGGGCAGGGTCGACGACGTTTGACGGCGCATGTACCTGCCTTCGCGCGACGTCAGCGTAAGTCAGGGGAGCGGACACAGGTGGTGGCTGGTACGTGGGGGGAAGTGCCTCGCAGACTTGCTCTTCGATGGTTTGGCGCAGTGACGAGGTCAGCCCATGCGTATTGCTGGGAAGCAAGGGGGCAAGGGACAACTGGCGTGCCACTTCCTCTCGGATAAATTGCTGGATTTGCGGGGTCAATACAGTCTGTTCTGGAGATATTGCACCAACGGTCAATGCTGGCGTGCTGGTCATGTCGAAAGTAGGCCGTCGCGTTGAAATGCGCTGTTTTCGCAACTCATCGAAACTTTGGCAGTGTTGGATGACTTCCGAAACTGTTTGCGGGTCTTTAGCCACCAGCATGTGGAAGGCATCGTCCTCGATGCCCTTCATAATGTGTTTTACCTTGGCGGTTTCCGACATGTCAGGATCAAAGCGACGGCAGAGGCCTACGACGTCCTCAATGTAGGACGTGAAACCCTCTCCCGACAGTTGGGCGCGATCCCGCAAGCGCTGTTCTGCACGGAGCTTGCGCACTGTCGGTCGGCCAAACACGTCCGCGAAGGTGGTCTTGAAAGTGGCCCAGTCGGTAAGCTCGGCTTCGTGGTTGTTGAGCCAGAGCTCTGCCACTCCTCTGAGGTAAAAGTGGACGCGGCCCAGTTTGTCGTTTTCGTCCCACCTGTTGTTGACGCTTACTCGTTCGAACGAAGAGAGCCAGTCCTCGACGTCCTGCTCATCGGTGCCGTTGAAGATGTCTGGATCTCGCTCTCTCGGGACGCCGGGACAGTGGACAGGTGGAGATGTAGGAGCCGTCTGCTGTGCAGCGTCGATGGACATTGTTGATGGCGAAGGTAGAGTTCGGTTGCGGAGTTCCAGGATGGAAAAAGGTACCCAGCACTCTCCACCACTTGATAGTACACCTTTAGTGGTGAGCAGAAGAGACGTTTACTTTGTGGAAAACGTAGCGGTAGAACCGACCAGCTGTCAAGCGGAGCGAGCGCGAGCAGCAACAACACTCTTCCTTCTCTTCTTCAGCTGGCGTTCCGGCCTGTGCCAAATATCAATGCTACAATATATATATATATATATATATATATATATATATATTTATATATATATATCACCAAGAAAACAACGAAGAGCACGCGTAGCGAGAGAGAGAAAGGCGAGGTTCTCATCCGATCAGTTTGCCAGTGTTCTGGTATAATTGAAGTGATTTCTCCTGTATTCAACTGCTGGTGTTTCTGCATTGTGACACTGGTGGAGGCGCTGGGTACATGTTTGGGACACCAGACAACAGCCACGCATCTAGCCCAGAAAGACTTCTGCGCATTGACACCCCCGTTCACCGCAGCAGCCACCGCCTGTTAGGCATCAGGCCGGAGTTCGGTACATTGCCGGGAAGCGTTACCATGCCAAAAAGCATGACGGCGCCTGAAAGCGCTGGCTCCAACATGTCCAGCCCAAGCACGACACAGGTGACTTTTTTGAACCCTCGAATTCCGGTTGACTTCCACAGAAAGACATATGAGGATGCGCATGACTGGCTCGAGGAATTCGATCACACAGCGAACGTTAACGGGTAGAACACCCCACAGAAATTGGGCTACGTGTATTTTCCGCTTCAAGACGGAGCCCGAACATGGTTTACGAATCGCGTGTGGTCGTCTTGGTACGAGTTCCGACAGAAGTTCCTCGACACGTTCGCGAGAACCGAATGACGAGAAATCACAGAGCGTCTCTTCGAGTCACGGATTCAGCAACCAAATGAATCCGTTACGATGTTTGTTGAGGACATGGCGCGGCTGTTTTGTCGAGCAGCTGTTCGCTGGTCTCGTGCGGAACCACCAACAAGTGTTGATGAATTCTTCAAGGAGGCGACATCCATCAAACACGCAATGCGTCCACGCTAGCGGCAGTACGACCGCCCAACCCACAGTGCACCAATAAGCGCGGCAGCCACGACCACAGCAACACCCAACGAAGGTTCTTTGCTCCAACTGATATACGAGAAATCGCTCAAGAAGAGCTGAAGAAGCTCGTCGCCAAACCGAATGACTGCGCAATTGCCTCAGTAACAGAAGTTGCGCGCCAGGAGATCAGGCAAGCGCTCTCGTTTCCTGTGCCGAACACGAGCACCCCCAGGGCAAGCTAATGCAGACATAGTCCGCCGAGAGCCAGCTGACCTACCGACACCGCATCAGTACCACCAGCAACATCCGCCGACCGCGCCTAGGTACTACAGAGAAACGTCGACGCCGAGTCGGCCACCACCAAAACTGCACATCTGGCGTACCCCTGACCATAGGCCTCTCTGCTTTCATTGTGGGGAAGCAGGCCACATCGTTCGGTATTGCGCTTATCGCGTCGCAGGGTATATACCAAGGATTTGCTTCCACTATTCCTAAGCGCCATTTACAACGAAACGCCTGACGTCGACACGAGTATCGTGACCCTGCGAGATGTTCCTCCTGGGTTTCGGTCGCGCTCACCCTCTCCGGTGCGTTATTCTCCATCCTCTAAATGGAGCGCCACTGACATGCCGAGAGGAAGATGTCCCAGTCCACGCCGAGGAAACTAAAAGCAGCGACCTCAGGGGGAAGGTTGCGAATCGTCGAAGTGCTGAAAATCCCCCAATACTGCCGAGCGAAGCGACAGGAATTTTCGATGATTCGACGATTGATAGGGTTGTAACGGCCGAAGTTGCAATTACGATTGACGCACATAACATCACGGCATTGGTCGATACTGGCGCGGACTTCTCAATAATGAGTGAGAGTCTGGCAGACAAGCTCAGGAAGGTACGAATGGAATGGATGGGACCACAGATTAGAGGAGCTGGAGGGCAGCTACTCACACCTACCGGAAAGTGCACCGCAAGAATGAAATAGGGGATGCATCCTTCGTCGCAACTTTTGTTATTCTTTCCGAGTGTTGCAAACAGGCAATCTTAGGGATGGATTTCTTGCGTAAATATGGTGCCATCATCAATATACTAGACGGTGTACTTCTCAGCGGATTAAAGCGCAGCGCTATACCGAAAATCCCCGTGCGCCATCTGCGTGGCACACCATCGCCATGAGCACTCACCTCAGCACCCACGTTAGCGCAATTTAGAGTTGCTGTATATGCTACCATTAGGTAGCAGAGCTGCGCATAGGTCTGTCATCTTGCCCACTGAGACGTCTATGTCATGCAGCAAAACCACCCCTTCCGAAAGTAGGAGTCGAAGCAGCCCAGCAGCTCCGTGCGTTTTCTCGCTCGTTTATTCCCCTTCGCTGGTGCAATGACTTTCGCTTCGAAGGAAAAAAACAGAAAATTTTGAACAAAAAATGGTAATACTACTGATGCTATAGCTTGTTCGATGGCAGTCACCATAGGAAGACAGTTTTGTTTTAAATAGCAAACAAGAAAGCCTTGACTTAACGAGAATCGTGTACACAATTCGCAACAACTTAAGTTCTGCAAATCATTTGTTTCACGTAGGTTTTCACTGGTTTAAACAATTAAGTAAATGGCTCAATAAAACAACTGCTAGAACTATACTTCCGTGTTTTACAAATAACGCAAACAAACAAGAATTTCCGACTTATCTATACGTAGCTGTGGCATCCTGTCATCGTGGCGAATACGCAGAACTGAGTCACGGCGCAGTGCCGCACAGACACCAGTAACACTGACGTTCACGAAAAACTGACAACATAAGACACAATCACAACACCATCGAAAAAGTACTTCCTCACTCATCGGGATCACTTCGCCGGACTGTTGGGCAGTGGTGGTGGTGGCGCCAGTGGCGTGGCGGTCACCAGCACCCGCGCGGCCATAAAGTTGGCTCTGCCTAAAATAGATGTTTTTGCACACGTGAGCGTGCTTGGTGAATGGGGGTGCGAACGGCGAGTTCTGCCAGTGGCGCAACTTTGCTACCTAAAGGGAGCACAGTAACTTTAGTGCCGTTCAACCCGTGCGCAACGCTGGAGCTTCGCATTCTATCAGGGCTCTCATTGGGAAGATGGTGTGAATTTTTTTATTCGCAATGTCCAAGATGTTTGGGAAGTGCGAGTAATTGCATGCAGTGCTGGAGGTGTTCGCACTTGCTCTTATGTACGCATGTACTACATGGCGTATTGAAGAGCAAAGAAACAATGACTTGGTATAGTTATATTTATTGAAGAGCATGAGAAACATCATCACTCATCTTCTGCGTATACGTGAGACTCGATCACACGCAGATATAAGAACATTAAAAACGGTGGTGCACAATGCCCATAAAGTCACGCGACAAAAATAAAAGACTGTATGGCGCAGACAACCAGTGTACACGTTGCAATGAAAGCCAGCGCAAACAGGGTCTTTATCCTCACTTTGTACAGTATCCGTCTCTTGCGAAACGGTATCCTCTTGCAACGACACCCCATCCAACCAAGGGTGGCAAGTATACCCGCGTCATTTGGTCGGAACCGACACGCGCACTGCGCCTATGAAAAGCATATAAAAGCAGCACACGTCTCGTCTGGCTTGCGGGTGAAAAGCACACGATGGATGCCAAAAGCGCACGCTTAAAGAACCAACAGTTTCTCATTTCCCAAATGTAGTGCCTTCCAAAGTAATTAAAAAAAAGGCACCGAGCATGTAACTCTTCATTTTGCACTTCAGCTATGTGGCAGAGGCAACGCCTCGTCACATTTATTAACCTGTGTAGCTAAAGAAGAATGACGATACGCGTCACCGTTTTGGTAACTTCACGTGACGTTGCAGTTTTCTTTGGTAGGAGCTCCTTCCTTTCTAATCGGAAGATCGAAATAAGATTTGAAGGAATATTCTCTAATGCTCCGCGGCAAAGCTGGCCCAAAACTTGGCCACACTCGAGCTGTTTGAGGTTATGTTGCCCTGCCTGCAGCCTTCCTGCGGGCGTGCATGCGGCAACTCGCTGAAATAGTAACAGTGTCCAAGGGAGATTCGCTCTCGCCAAGCTGACTAACAAAGTGTGAGCAAGAAAGTCGCACCCATCACAAAATATGACTGTTGTGAAGGACTGCAAGTGGAAATTGAGGCTTGCTTGTCCAAATTAACACTACGAATAGGAAGAGGAAAAAAACCGCACACACAAAATGAAACATCACAATAACTTACTCCCGCTCGCAGCTATTCAGTCACTTCAGCAGCGCCCACGACTCTCAGCGTTTTGGTTCTCTGGACTAGATGTTTATCGAGGTATTACATCCCGGCAAAGCGACAAGGAAAAGCCGCTGACAAGAAACATCTGAGGTAAGATGTGCGTTGCACAGATTCAACAATGATGCTGGTGCATGGAGCATAACTGAAGGCATTTCTGCCAGCTGCTGTAAATGTGGGAAGATGCATTTATCCACTCGTTCTCTTAAGCAAGCACTGCGCAGTTGTGCTCAGATATCTGGCTAAACTTCTGGACACACAGTACCACTTAGTTATGATAATTAAAAAAATGAATGTGACGAGAAAAAATTTCTTGAGAATACAATTTCAAGCTCACGTCATCTGTCACATCACAATCATTATTATTAATTACTGCATACACGATAAGCTGCTATGTTGTATTTGAAGCTTGCTTTAGAGGCAAGAGTACACATGAATATTAAGGTGTACATATTCCACTATCATTTTCCCCTATATTGGGACAAACGTACACATGATGTGTCTAGGCAGCTTAACAGTATGGTACATGAACTGATTTGGCACTTTCCCTGCACAAAACACAAATTGCACAAGAATTTATATTTCAGACTTCAGTGCACTTTTAGGTATACTGGTCAGTTCAAAATAGTTCAGGCTTAGCTAACGAGCACAGGTTCACCCAACATTAAGCAAACTTACAAAAATAATTACATGGTCATTTTTTTTCTTTCTCCTGCAGCAACATTCAGCCGCATTCACGCCAAAGAGCACGTTGCTCTGGCATTTTATTAAATGCTGAATGAGACTGATCCGAAAGGCACATAATATGCATGAGCACGCAGCAAATAAATTCTTGCATGTTTGCTAACAGCCATTTCTTTAGCTTGCTTGCTTTTAAGTGTAGGCTGATTTCTGCACTAAAGGCAACAGGAATTCGGGAACAAAGCTTAATGTTGACAAATCGATATTTTTAATTGACCGCAATAACTGGGTCACGAAAATCAGACAGGCATTAAACAGAAGAGAATTGTGACAGTGTTGTCTGTTAACAAGTGCAAAAATGGCACAAAGGTAGGTAAGCAGAAAGCAACCTGAAGCAAACAGGCCAGAGCTTCCTTCATGAAAAGAAGAAAGTTCCGCAACCGATGGAGATTCAAAACAGAAAAAAACAAACATTGACCTACACATAAAATACAACCTCTGCTTCAAAGAGAGAACATGCCCATCACAGACACTGCGTAAAGCAGAGCTGCGTGATAAGGAACGTCAACAGTAACTTTTGGATTCCTTCATTATCATTCTCGCAAATTGAGGACCTTCTAAGGCAAAAGAAGATCCCACTAGCAGTCTACAAAATTTTTTCACCTTTTTTTGTCGATTCTGATATGCGAGAAATTCAATTGATTCAGCAGTGACGAGAGAAAAAAATATATATATGCCCAAGCAAGAAGCATGCATACACCCTCCAATCATTCTGCCTAATCTGGTAACAATTTTTGAAATGTGGCAGCCAAACACCGACACTAAACATTCAATGCTCGCTTCTCAGCATCATTTCTTACATTATAAGACGGGGAACAGATACAGCACATAACTTGTTTTCAATATAGATATACCACTCCCCCTTCAAGCTGCTCGTCTGAGCTGCAGCCTAGGCTACGATATGGGCGGCCTGAGAACTCTCCCGACCTGCAGGACGCTCAGTCATTAGGCACAGGAGGTGCGGGTATGTCGGGGATGCTGAGCCGCAACTGCTGCTTGCTGGACGGAGCCGCGGGGAGGGGGGCGCCAGAAGCGCCCCACTTTGGGATGTCGTAGTAGTGTCGGCTGTCATCGGACTCCGGGGCGCAGGGATGTGGCGCGACACGCCGTAGCGCGGCCGTCGGAAAGTCGTAGTCCAGCAGCGGGTTGTGCTGATGGTCAACGACGGGTCGAGGCACTTGCGGAATGTCGTAGTACACGCCTGCCGATGGGTTCACCACCGCAGGCTTGGCTGCAGAGAACCACAAAACGTCTGATCACGCAGGTGTTTCGCGGTCTGTTCACAGCTTTTTAGCCCAGCCTGTGGTTAGTTATAGTAAAGATACTAAGCACTTCGTTCTCCAGACAACTAAAAATTTAAGTAACATAAAAGCAGGCAGGGTTGCCAGCTTTTGCCACTTTGCGCCAATGTGGATGCTTTAGGCCGGTGGCGGCAAAAAATTTGTCTTGGCTCCATTTTTGGCATTTCCTTTTTTCCTTAATTGAAGCAATATTATCAATGTCTGCTGACGTCGAAGCCATTAGTGTTTCAGTATATGACACGAAACATGACAATCAAAACGTGCTTCCAGATCTAAAAACTAAAGTTGGCACTTTGATTACACAGATAATAAATTTTGTTGAAAAAGATGATACAGTGTCACAACTAGGATCAACAGTCTTTGGTGGCAATTCAAACAGACGTACAAAAATGCATGTATAAAGTGCCAGTAAATCATGTTTCGTGCACACAACATAAAGCTGAGCATATTTTTTGTGTGGGCGAACACGGCTTTAAACCACAGATCAAGGTGAAAAGGAATCGAAAGCATTCAGCATTCAGGGCGATCTTTATTTACCGACATTAGAAATCGAACTTCCCACGTTTCAAGTGAAGACTTCAAAATAAGAACTCATGTAGCAGGGACATGAGTCACTGAACTTGGAATGAAAAGTGTGAGAAACCTATTGCCACTGGCATCAACGCCCGCGAACGATTAAAGCGCGACTAGGTGAGGAGGGGAAAAACAACCAAAACTGATAACTCGATACAAATAGTCGTAATTTTACATATGTGAAAGTTAACGATTTGATGTGTGGGGCTTGACGTCCCAAGACCACCATATGGCTATGAGAGATGCCGTAGTGGGGGGCTCTGGAAATTTTGACAACCTGGGGTTTTTTAACGTGCACCCAAATCTGAGCACACGGGCCTACAGCCTTTTCGCCTCTATCGAAAATGCAGCCGCCGCAGCCGAGATTTGATCCCACGACCTACGGATTAGCAGTCGAGTACCTTAGCCACTTGACCACCGCAGCGGGCTATATATGGGAACGTTAACAATAAACTTACTTTATGTGTATCTGACAACTGGCTAAATGATTGATTGCCTTAATTTGTGGTCGAGTTCCATAAATGGGGAGGGGGAGGGGGCGTATCCAAGAAATATGCTATCAGAGAGCTTGCAAGGTCTATTCACATAGGTCGCGAAAGTTCAAGCAAAAAGCGGTTCAGAAGCTAGTGACAGCGAAATCAGCATGGGGAGTCATGGGAACTGCGATTGAAGCGCGACTGTGTGTGAAAGGAACAGACACTAATAGTGAAAAAATCAAGTTTTGTTCAAAGTCGAAGCTATCACTATGTTTTACAAATAACATTTCTTTCCCCAAAAAATATTATGCAGGTGTAGTGAGCAAAGAATTTAAGACAGTTTTTCATTATTACGAAAAAACTTTTTTAGCGCCCTCTGCCCATGCTATACTTCTTCACTGCAGCCCTTGCAGTGCACGAACTGCATGGTCTGCACTGCAGAAACAATGCATGTGCTGTGCAAGGATGCAGTAGCAGCAAACATATGCCTGGCGACCCATGTATTCTAGATAATAAACCAGTGCAATGATAGGGAACACAGTGTTCGCTAGACATTCATGCATCAGTATTCTTGCAACCCAGTTTCTTTCTTGAGCTTGCAGTGCCTACTATTCGTGTTATGCAGTGCCTACAACTATTCGTGTTATATTCATGTAATAAAGCTACGGGTTTGGAGAAATACAACATGTAAGCTTTTCAGTTCTACCGGTTGTACACACGCAGGTAAACATGAGCTTATTGAGTCAATGAAGAGGCACAAAATAAATCTCCGACCTTAGCCACTCACTATACCAGTGGTTAAGTTTCAAATGTTATTCTACATACCAAAAGCTGAAGTTAGGATTTCACGTTCGAACGTGCTACTTTTAAAGATAAGTGTCTTGAACTTGCTCAATAATGCTTACTATTTGAGCTTGTGCAGGCGAAAATAAACAAGAACTTGTCATAGTGTTCGTAAATTACAATTATTCAACCGGAAACATACCTGGTGAGCTCATATTTCCATGCAGCGAAATGCTGGACGGCATGCTGTTCGCCCTGACTTCCGAGATGGTGGATGCTGCAACATCTCCGACCTGCGAGGAAGCCTGTGAAAGATTGATCACATTAAGAAGAACGAAAGATGCAACCAGCCGAGAAGCTCTGCATTCGTAACATGCCCGCTTGCGCGCCATGACTGCGCTGCTCCGTAACATTCCGCGTAAAAATGACAAGTTTTCCTCAATTCGGTTTCCGACAGTGATAAGCAGACACAGTAGTATCGCTTCGGTTGCCAGAAGCAGCAGGTTGGTCATGGCACCCCCGCCACTATCTTTGCTGTCCTGTCATCTTTAAGTGACAGGACACGTGATCGTCGAGTGCTATAAGGTCATCAAAGGAAAAACAGAAGGGTGTGCACAAATGTGTGTGTATATATATATATAAGAACTGTATGTGGACGTACACGAACAGTTGGTTTCGTTCTCAGTGTTGACAGTGATTCTTCCTCTTTTTTACTTTCTTTCTTTTCTTTCTTTTTCTTTTTTTTTCGTCTTTTTTCTTTCCCCCCCCCCCCTTTTTTTAAGTTCCCTCTCACTCTCGCAAACATCTTTCAAGGCGAGAGGGACGCGGCAGCAACGAAGTTTTGAAGATCATGTCAGCATAACTTATCCCCTGATGAAGGAAGGACCCCTCCCGAAACTGTTGGGAAATAAATATATTTATCCTTGTTGACAACGCTCCCGTTGTGCCATATCCCATATATATATATATATATATAAAATAAGGGAAAGAAGTGTATACCTAAGGGCTCGTTTTTCCGTGTTTTAACGCAATAATAATGAGATCTAACAGACAGTAATGCCAAGGAATGTACAGGGGAAGTTATTAGAACCAATGGAATGTAAATAAGAAGAAACAAAAGTGGATGAAAAAATAACCAGCCTTGAGCAGGCTGGTTATTTTTTCATCCACTTTTCGTTCTTCTTATTTACATTCCATTGGTTCTAATAACTTCCCCTATACATTCCTTGGCATTACTGTCTGTTAGATCTCATATATATATATATATATATATATATATATATATATATATATATATATATATATATATATATATATATATATATATATATATATGCATGCATGTATCATCAGCTGAAAAGTGAAGAAAGGACGTTCACGTCATCTATGGCAAAGCAAGATAAGGAGTTATGGCCAGTACACAAGCACTGCTAGATTACGTTCCCTGATGACTGGCGCGACGAGTGATATCAGGCGATTACTGCGGCTTGCGTCGCCGTGGTCGCGAACAACGTTTGATATGTTGGCAGTAGGCTATGTACTGCAGGCGCGAGCAGTGAGAGAGAGCAGTCTAGCGACGCTTGCCTACCTGCCATAGCTCGTTACTATTTTTTTCGGCAACAGATGACGCTGAAAGCGAACGTGTTTCCTGTCAGTTGATGGCACTATAGGCAGCCGCCGCAGAGCGCAGGCCACACGATCGCGTATTCCATCTTATAAAGGACGACAGTGTACATCTGGTTCCAATGCAATTGAGACTACAAAAAGGTTCGAACCTTTAGCACATAAATGATGCCTTCCTAATTTACTTTACAGTCGAACCCAGTTATAATAATAGTGGTTTTAACAATATATTGGTTATAACAATGAGAAGCTAATTCACCGTCAAATTTTGTATGTTTTATTTGGTAATGCCCACCTGTTGCATCATAAGTTACAACAATGCATTCCGGCAACTGGGTGTCCGTGCCGAAATGTAATGGAATTGATTGATATGTGGGTTTTAACTTCCCAAAACCACCATATGATTATGAGAGACACCTTAGTGAAGGGCTCCGGAAATTTTGACCACCTGGGGTTCTTTAACGTGCACCCAAATCTGAGCACACAGGCCTACAACATTTCCGCCTTCATCGGAAATGCAGCCGCCACAGCCGGGATTCGATCCCGCGATCTGCGGGTCAGTGTAATGGAATCCTCAATTCTTGAAAAGTTGCAGTTTCGCCGCAAGGGCGAAGCAATGAACGCGATAGCAATAATTTGGAATGTAACGCTGAGACTGGCAAGCAGATCGAAACGTGCAGCGCGCTGCTCACGCACAAATGACGCATACACAGGACGAGAGCGAACTAACAATGTTTACCGCTTGACACTTGACGCGCTCATTAAACAAGAACGACACACGAAACGTAATGACAAGTACAAATGAGTTTAAACTAACAAACATCCCAGTTTTATACTTCGCGGTGTATGAAACGCGCACCCTTTTCGCAAACAGGGCCTGTGCAGCAAGCCAAGGGATTTTTGTGGGCCCAGCAACAACACCGTCGTTCCGGTGAATACTGAAGGCCCACGATTCTCCCCACCGAAGGATAATCGTACGCACACAGGCATATAATCCCCCCCCCGCCGTGCCATTTGTGGGGCAAAGTACACGTGAGAGAAAAGCGCGCGTAGTTACCTCGACGGAAACGGAAAAAATTTCATCTATCTGTTTGTACATTTGTCTGCTTGTCCGCCGTAAGGATATCTCAAACGGCTCCGAACGATACCTAAATGGCCAACCCCATCCACAGCACCCACCAATATTGCTCAAGTTTAAGCGTTCATACTTGTGTGATTGTCAATTAAAAAGCTATTATTGCGCATATCTAAAGCACCATAACAACATGTCAATATTCTGTATGTGTGTCTTTATACTAGGGAAGGCATACATAAGGAATTCTAAGGACCGTAGCGTTTATCAGGCTGCGCTGACAATGCAATGCCATGCTCAAAAAGGCAAGTGTTTCCAACACTTTGCTAAGAAGACACAGTGGTGGCACCTGCTCGTCGCTTTGCGTTCTACACCTTATCGCCTCTAAGACAGGCATGCATGCCTTCCTTCGTTTTAGAATATAACTGCCAGATAGCACTTGCGTCTAACGTGCCTGGGTACGCACGTTCGCCTTCATGGCACGGATCGAGACACTCTAACGCAGAGCCTCCAGAATACAATTCCCCGATTTTCTCGTGCAGAACATCAAATAAACGTTTTGTTCACTCTCTCCAGACGCAAGACTAGCGTCTTTCAACGACATTTGCAGTGGGCCACGGGGATACGGGGCCAATTTTTTTTCTTTCTTGAGTTTTCATATATACGTATAGATATACGGTGAATGAGGCAGTGGCGGTAAAAAATGAGCCGAGATTGTCCATACAATTGCTATCGGAATAGAAGAAGAAAACTAGAAATTCAAGCTGGAAGCTGCCAAACCCCCGTCCACAACTCCAACGTCCTCCAGCGCCCCTTCAAAGTCATAACATGCTTCACTGAATAGAGTGCGGTAATGCCGACTTTTGAAATCTGTTATATACAGAGCGGGAGCGGCTTTTGTAAATAGACTTACTAATTTGCAATTAGAGTAAAAAGGTAAAACATTGACAAATTTCAGCATCCGAAACTTGTGACGTTATACCTTGGCGCTACATGCGGTTTGTGGCAGCCCTATGAAAGTGTCCAAATTTTCTAGCATGTCCGAAAAATCGGCAGCTTTGTCATGCTTATCACTGATGTATGTTGGCATATCGCATACGATATTACAGTTCTCTCACAGCAGCCTGCCATATCTCTATTCTGCTTTTTTTCATGCAACCCGTTTGCAGCAATTATCCCTTATAACAATGAAATTTTCGTTACACTTGAGTATTGTTATAAGTGGGTTTGACTGTATTACAAGGTTAATGCAATTCTTTGTTTCACATCCACATATAGTTCTGACAACGAAATGACAACGGATCATAAAAGTATCAGTGAAAGCGAAGAACTGAACTAGGAATGGAGGAGGCAGACGATCCTATCCCTTCCTGTTGTGTTTCCGCTCGCACATTTACAATACCTAGCACCAATTGGCCCAGCAGATCACCATCATGAAATGACGACAATCTCTACACCACTGGAAAGAACGTATACAATTTCATTTTAGGAATAGGCGGCCCCGTGCTGTAAGCACAAAACAGGAATAAAAAAGAAAACAAACCAGATTTTGAGGTATACTGCGTCAGACATTCAACGAGCCCTCATCGCTGCAAGCAGAATAGCTCGCCATCTCTCAACAGTTGTTTTACTCCCACCTCAGCACTGGAGTAGCCAGAAAGGGGGAGGGTTCAGATCTTTTTTTTTATGCACATAAAACGAAACTCACACACACATACGTAAAGCATGGCTGAAACCCCCTTCCCCCCTTTTTGTAAAAAAAAATATGGCGGCGATACAGCATTCCGGCTGTACCAGATTAAAATCCTCACAGCAAACAGCTCCTTGTTTTTATATTTATGCTCTAAAATGCATAACATAAATTTCCAACAATGCTATACTAGGCCTCAATATCACTGAAACGTTCTGTGTGGTGTTTCTTATGTAAGCAGTTTTTTCATATTTCGTTGAAACAACTTTTCCGCATTTCGTTTTCTTTTTGTTTTGAAATAAACACATTGTTACTATTTTGGGTGAGCAGGTTGTATTTCGTCATTAGCCCTGCGAATGCACGACATATGATTGACTGCTGGCTATCGAGGGAATAGCCCCCCGGTGAAAAGCGATTCCCTGTAGTACGATGATTTGCCATTGCTGCGCGTCTATTCATGCGACGTTTCTCACCGGAGAGTGGGGGTGGGATGCCTTCCGGTCGGCGCTGCCTGGCGCAAAGGCGTAGTACTGGTGCATCGCCGTCTTGGGGTTACGCGGCGCCGGCAGTCGCGGGGGCCGCGGCGGCGGCCGTCCTTCCTCGCACGAGTCTGAATGCGCCCCGCTGTCATACGCACTCATTGAACTTAGCGTGCTTAGGCGGTCGCTTGAACTGGAACCTGCAGAAAGAGAAAGGTTCTAAAGAACTAACCAATGGGTGGGCTTTTTTTCTTATGCCACCTTCAGGCTAATTTTATTGATATGTGGGATTTTCAATTAACGCCCCGAAACCACCATGATGTAGTGGAGGACTATAAATTTCGACCACCTGGGGTTTTTCAACGTGCACCCAAACCTGAGCACAGGGGCCTATAGCATTTTCGCCTCCATCGAAAATGCAGCCGCCACCGCCTGGATTCGATTCCGCGACTTGCCAGTATGCAGCCTAGTACCTTAGCCACTAGACCACCGTGTCGGGCCCACCTTAAGGTTCATCGACACAAAAACCAATCAACAAACTGGTGAACTGAGAGACTGCACGTTCATTCATGGTCAGGAAAGCGTGAAAGGCTATAGCGACGACATGGAAATGCTCATACGAAAAGCTCTTGTGCTGTTTTCTTCACATGTCTTTCAACTTTGCACTTGTTCTCTCATCCTCCTCCTTTTACTGCTACTCTATAGTGCTACTACTACTACTACTACTACTACTACTACTACTACTACTACTACTACTACTACTACTACTACTACTACTACTAGTACTACTACTACCACTACCAAACTTTGAGAATAGGTTCAACGGTGTAATCAACCATTTATTTCAAAGCGTTCCGGCAATATCACAAATGCAGTGTAAGACTGGCAAAGTCTGACTACGAGGTTAAAGATTTTTTGGCGAAAACGGTGAAGCCAGAATAACACTAACGAGATTCAACGCTCCATTAAAACAAAGTTCTCCAAGCTGTTCTTCAGGAGCGCCGTAATGCTACTGGTGTGCATTGAAACGATCCCGCGTGCATGCCATAACTGAAACGTCACCCGCTTATATTGTGCAAATTACTATTGCCTTTGTGCCTCTGTAATTAGACAGAAAAGAAGAAAACATGGTTGATTTTTCTTTTTTAGGAATCCGTATATTACAAAAGTGAAACGTGTCCTCACAGAAGTAGTTGTACATTGTTTTGCCAGAACAGCTAAGAAATGAATGCTTCAGATAACAAGTGGCAATGTCACGCGACGAACAGCAAGCAGCTTAAAACTTGCCGCGCATACCTCAAGTAGAAAGCGCGGACAAACAACTGTCACAGCTCGACACCTGAAAGCATGCTGTTCGAACAGAAAGAGAGACGCATGAAATGAACGCACAGGTATACACAGGATGAGGGCGAACAACGGTCACGATTCTTACTTTTTCGTGTGGGAAAAGCACACTTCTGTCGTAAACGCGGGTGCGGCAGCGAGAGAAAGGAGGTTCGTGCTATCTTTAACTACTGTGCCTTGAAAGCAAGCTTGCAGTTGAACCACAAGGGGTAAGAAGCATCCATATCCCGAGATAAGCGCGAGCGCGAGTGAGTCACCATGCTAGAGAACATCTACACGCACTTTGAACATGCGTGTGGTGGCACGCACGCACAGCGACGTGTGGGTTGGCGCGTAACTTTCATGCCCGAAGTGCTATCTCTCTACTGATGATGGAAACGCAGTGAACTTGCCGAGTTCTGAAGACCGCCAGCGGTATACAGGGTGCATATAAATGGCTCGCCGTTAACGTGTTGGAGCAGCGTCGCTCTGTGACATAGTGGCTAGTGTTGCCCGTTGAAGGGCGCAAGGTCGCTGATTCGACATCCCACTGCGGAGCTTTTCCTTCTCTTTTTTTTTTTCACGGCAATCTGCTAGTAAACATTTTACATTGTGATATCCGAGACGGAAACATGTCATGGAGTCGTGGTGGACCCCGGCATGAAACGCTTTCGTGCCAAAAAGCAGCACCCGACGACGGCTGGAGATGCCATCGTCTACTTGTTGTGCATAATATGTTTGCACAAGCAGAGTAAGATTTATCTTGTGCTGGCTTTACTGCTTCATACATACTATATAGCGCATACTGAAAATGTAATGAAAGTAGTATTTGTCATGGACAAATAAAAGCTATACTAAGCGAATTGTTTTATGAATTAATGTGTCACTTACTGCCACTGCTGGATGTAGAGACGGCACTAAGCGTGCTGACGCGTCGACAGCCATCAGAGGAGTCGTCTTGCTTCTGTAAGAAATGAAACGTCAAATGTCAGCTGATGGCAGTCAGAGATTGTGCGCTCATTTGCACGTGATAGGGCCTGTGCTGCAACGAACTGATTCGCAAGCTGAACGTATACATTCGGATCAAAGTAGCCGATTCGGCATATGTCACGATATTTCTGATTATTGAACGAAAGAAGGGGAATTCGAAACACTCGTTTTCCATTGTTAGACACAACAACAATGAGAACTAACAGAACAGAAAGCGAAGGTGAGTATAACGAACATTATCTGTAGTAATTATGATGCAAGAATGAAGAAAGTAAAGTAGATGAAAAGATAAATTCTTTTGTTCACTGCACTTCTAATATAATAATTGCTGCAAGTTCCCGTATACGCCTCACCGCGGTGGTCTAGTGAGTAAGGTACTCGGCTGCTGACCAGCAGGTCGTGGGGTAGAATCCCGGCTGCGGCAGCTGCATTTCATATGGAGGCGGAAATGCTGTAGGCCTGTGTGCTCAGATTTCGATGCACATTAAAGAGCTCCAGGTGGTCGAAATTTCCGGAGCCCTCCACTACGGCGGCTCTCATAATCATAAGGTGGTTTTGGGACATCAAACCCCACATCAATAAAATCAATTAACTTCCCCTATACTTACCTAGGCTTTCCGGTCTGTAAGTTCTCATTGATGTTGCACATTGCAACCCGCGCGAGTGTTACATAAGTCTTAAAGCCTTAAAGAACATTTGGATTGTCGAAGGAGTCTGACATCCCGCCCCACTTATGGCACAGCCAGACTACTTTTATGTGACGCTAATATTGCCATCATGATTAGTGCGAAAATAATTTTTTGATTTACATCTGGATACGATGCAGTCACGATTGTGGGGAGCTAAATAGAATCTGTAGTGTGCATGAAAAGGCTGTTACCGCAGAATGTAAAAACTCACCGGGTTCTTTACGCATTCGCATGAGACGACTCAGGGGCAAAAGATCTCCGGTGTGATTATTTTACAGTGCTCTTTAGTACACAGGAACAACAATTTTTAAAGATTTTTTTTATCCAAAGTGACCACGCAACTTCCACGCCTCGAGGCACACCCGAAAGGAACGCCACTCATTTTATTATTTTTTTAGTGAAGTGAGTGAATGTTGTCTATGACCATGCACTTGTTCCGTGCGTGCGTGAGTGTGCGAAGGGTGGAGGGGGGTAGGGGGTGGAATGAAAGCCTTAGATACGCCCGTGTTAACTCATAAATGAACTGCGCCACTTCTCTTTGAAGAGATGGCAGCAAGCTGACAACAAAAGATCACAGCACTAGCGAGCACCATTTTCCAACTCGCACTTGTGGCTGTTAATATTTTAGCAAGTTGAAATGAGCGACATAATGGTACATAATGTCGTTTATTGATGAGTAGAAACCCTGCACATGTAACGCTAGAAGGCTTTTAATTATGGTTAAGCTAACGCTTTTTCGAGTTTATGGCCATACGAAAAACGAATATTAGGGACACTACTGCGATGGCACCCGCGGCGTCATATCTGCTAACTAACAAATGAGCACGTCATTTGATTACGCGCTGTTTAAAGGTGTGTAAATAATAAAATGAAATGATTACCAGCCCTGCAGTTTGTCAAGATTGCTTGCATAATACTCAGCCATAACCGAGTTAAACCAACCTTAACAAACTTAAGTGACACTTCGTTGCACTTTGACTTGAGTAGTACAGCTGGTTTTAATAGTTTACGGCCAGTTAATGTTTAATAAACAATACTTATGGGTGGAAGCTGAAACGTCTTGACACTTTCGGTAGGCACCCTACATACTTTTTGTCTTTTGTGACAGCATAAAAATACAGCAAGCGACTATCTTTGCTTGATTGATGCTGTTTTATCGCTTCAGTTATGTGGAATAATGAACACTTGCGTGTCCAACAGTCAGTGTTGATTCCGTAGATCTAACAACAGTCAGTGTCGATTCCGTAGATCTAACAATCATAAAACTGCAACCACACAAAAAACTTAAAAAAAGAGGAGTTTCAGAAAAGACCACTGTAATCTGCAGTAATGAAAAATTGACGTGGTTCTGCAGTCTATGCAGTATGCGTTCATCTTTATGAAACAAAAATAAATGAAATGTGCGTGGAAAGTGGACTTGCCATGTTAGGCAGTGTCGTGTGCTGGATGTCACGACTTCGGCTTCCACGCCTGTTTCCTTTGCCGGTGATGATTTGTCGTAGGTCACTGAGACTGAATGACTGCTTTGCTGCCTGCGCTGAACGCTGCTTCTGTTTGTAAAGCTCACGAAGAGCCTGGAGGTTGCTCTGAGAAAGAACAGAGAATAGAACCAATAAACTAAAAAAAAGTCACAGCTTTGCCGCAAAGGCGACGCAATGAACACGATAGCAACAATTTGAAAGGTTACGTGCAGAATGGAAAGCAGATCGAAATGTGCCCCGCATTTCTCGCGCACAAATTACACACAAAACGTACTCACAGGTACCGATGCACGCGTATAAGCGTCTCATTTGTTACTTCGCTGAGTCTGAAAAGCACGGGCTTTTCGTGAACAAAGACTGCAATAATTGCAGTGACCTTTGCGCGCCCAGTAACTACAGCAGAATCGTTACACGTATAGCCTAAGGCCAGCCAATGCGTACGATTCTCCCCACCTCGCCACGAGATAAGGGCGCGCGAGGAGCGTAGCTCAACTTCTCTAAGCCGGGCAATTGAACTACACGTAGGAGATTGGAGTGGGCGCCGCTGCGCGATGTGGCGACGTGCGCTCATCGCGCCATCTTTCTGGTAATGCCGAAAACACAGCAGCAATAAGTGGTAGGTATAAATAGCTTGCCGTTTATATATTTAAGAATGTTCTTTGGGGTGGCTTAGTGGTTAACGCCTCGCTTTTACGACGCAGAGGTCCCATGTTCGATTTCGCGTGCTGAAGTGTTTCTTTTTCTGAATTTTTTTTTCTGCATTTTCACACATATAGATAGGTATACATATACGGTGTATGACGCCGATGCCGGCGGCAAAATCTAGCATGGAGTGTTCATATAATTGCTATCGCAACAAAAATACTACCCACACAATCAGAGAACTAACAGACACAGCTACGTGACGTCTGACCCCAGTGACAGTAGATCGTATAAATTAATCTGAAATACCTTCCTGGCTATTATTGTCACATTAGTTATGTTTTATTTTACGTGTAATAAAGGTATCTTTTTCTTTATATCTATCGACTAAACAGATTTCATGACAACCAACGAACGGTGACCGGCGTCTGTGTTCTTTTTAAGTGTAGCTAAAAGCTCCCCTAAGCTTCCTCCTCGTACTATTGACAAAAGCCCCTGGCAGAGAGGGGCCGACTGCGTCTCCACTGGAGACGGCTGTGGGAGAGGGCAAACGCTTGCGACGAGCGCGTAATTGCCCTCACATGATATGTACAGATTCTCAAGGAACGCATCTTGACAAAGCTTGGCGCCAATACAGTTCAGCTGTGCGCAGTACTATGTCTCTCCTCGTGCTGCAACCAGTGGCAAAAACTCACTCACCACAGGGTCTCGCATACTCTTCGTGAGCGTCCCGCTCTGCACTCAGATACGACGCGATATGCACATGTAAAGGAGGAACCAGGTGCCCGCTGACTCGTGTGAGTAGTTGGGACTTCGATATTCATTCACTTCTACAAAAGCTGTACCTGCCAATGCAGCAAGAAAACAACCGATATGAAAAGATGGGTCTGTACACTCACATCTTCGCTGTTTTTGGAGTTTTCGTTGTTCTTCTTCCAGTAATCAAAGAGCTTCTCAATCTGCGAGAAGGGAATGCCCTTCTTGTACATTTCTATTATTCGAACGAGGTCCTCTTGTGTATTTGAGAAGACCATTTCCGGCATGCCTGGATAAAAGAAAGCGGCACGTCCAAAGTTTCAGGTTCGTCTCTCTCACTTGGTATTGTTGTGAGAACCATATGGCCGACATGCAATATTGCGCTAGCAGAATTTCCCACACACCACAACTGCACTAAACATGATGCCTGCATGTATGCTAGTGCCACTGTCGATGAAAGCCATGATTTTAAAGCTTCGATGGTGATGAGAATTAGAGACAGAAATTACGAAATCGCACGGAATCACCGCAATTACAATTCCAACTCAAGGACCGCCATATCGGTTAGGCTCCGTCTGTGGACAAGCGTAATTTGCAGTTTTTGGATATCGCCATCCAGGGTACACGTTATTTTGAACAATGGTTACCGTATATATCACCCTAATAAATGAGAAGTTGTTTTGGTTCGATAACATAGTTAACATGAAGTGATGAGACCACAACATTCGTGTCAGCATTGCACGATGTTTAGTTAAATAAAGGCATTCGCTCTGCTTGTTAATACTGCTGTCTTAGTTTAGTTACACGCTTTTTTTCAAACTATGCCCCCCGACTTAAAGTATTTGGCACCCGACATTGATATTGTTGAAAAACTCGGGTCTAAATAAATCTTAAGGCCGTGGTGCATAGCTTTGCCAACGTTGAATTAATTCATTCAAGCTTTGTAATTGTTAAAATAACAATGCATTCATGTTCGTACCACCATAACTACCAAGAATTCGCTCGCCATATTAGAAAAAAATTAATAATGTAGTTTAACCAGTAGTGGTTGCTTTCAACATGCACCAATAGCGAAGAATATGCCTGATGAAGTATATAGCTGAAGAACGGTAGTAGCATTAGTGTTGTAGTTTACATATGCGCTTGATGATTATGAATGCGCTTTCACGTGAAAATGACAATCATATCGCGATTTTGTGGCAGTACCGCTAGCTGTATACTCATTTTTAGTCACTATAAGAATAGCAGGAGAGAAAAAAAAGTACCTTGATCAGTTTGTCCACTTGTGGAATTCGTTTCATTTTTCACTTCACCTTGATCACTTTGACTTGGTGCAAAGCTTTGTCCTAGTAACCACGATGAACGGAAAGTAAATTCACAGTGAATATGGTTGCCAAACTTAGTTCAACAAAACATCGCTTCTTACAGTTCCACGAATGATTGTAAAGGTAGCGAAAATGGTTTGTGATCAAAGTGAATATTATTTTTTCACCTTACAGACGTATGCCTAACAGTCCATGTGAGAGTGATATGTGCAACAAGAAAAAAAAAAAATTAGAGTCAACAGTTGTCACTTATCACAGAACTATAAGAAAACAGCGAGAAGGCAATGCAGTTCTGCTTAATTCATTATATACAGGAAGCCCCAGAATTTAAAAATATGCCGACACACGCAATGATGATGTGATCAAATGCCTACTGTTGACTGTTACCTGGAGTGAGTCAGACTATTCTTTACGTTCTCATTATTTGTCGTACTAGGTCAATTTTATTAACTAATTTGTAAGCAACGAAAATGAACTGCACATTCAAATGAGAAACTTGTTCATTGGTTTGCAAAGCATCCAATTAGATAGTTCAGAGCTTTATATCTGTTAATTTTAGTGTTTTACTACTAACTGCAAAGGCCCGCCAAATGCAAAAAAAACAAACCACGTGACAAGCCCGTTTGCGCGCCAGTGCGCACAAAGATTTCGGTGCTCCTAACGTTCCGCGTACGAATGACGATTTGTCTGATTATGCTGTCTAGACAGGGCTGCAACATGGATGGTGGCTTTGTGATGAACACGTTTTTCTATCGGCCATAAAAGCGATAACCGCTGTGATTACAGTCGAGCCCGACTATATCAAACCCGTTTATATCAAATTATCCCGTATATCGAACGACTCCTAAACACGGTAAGTTTACATTGAGAATATATAGCAAAAGTTACTGTTTTATCGAACGAAAATAGCAACAACAACTGATATATCAAACTCCATGTGCCTCAAAAGTGCCCCAGCAAGTTGGCTTTCCCTCGCGGTGGCGGAGAAAACTGCCGGCGCCACCCTGGAAAAAGTTGGTTAGACCCGGTTGTGCGTGGGCGAACACCCCCCTCCAAGAAATAATCCTGGCCTGCTCGCAGCGCTTACAGCCAATTAGAGGCCGTCGTGCTTTCTCCGAGGCGCGGAGGTGGTAGAAGTGAGCGCCATTTTTTATTTATTTATGTTTGTGTGCCTGCTGCTGCCAATTCAGCGTGGTTTGTGGTGTTGCCTGTTGGTGCTCTGTGAACTGTATTGGCATGCTGTCATCATGGCTTGCGCAAAGAGGCAAAACTTGCCGTTCGCCGCGAAACTCGAAATCATCAATTGGGTTGAGCGCGGTGAAAAGAAGTCCGATGTCACAGCCGCGTACAAAATTCCAAGGAGCACCTTGAGTACTATCCTGAAGAACAAGGCAGACATCAGGGCCAAGTCGGACAAACGGCTAGGTGCCCGTGGCGCTTGATGTGTGCGCGCTGCTGTGTACGAAGATGTTGAAGCGGCCGTTTACAAGTGGTTTGTGGACGTTCGCTCGCGAAACATCCCGGTGTCCGGCCCTATGATCGAGCAGAAAGCCAAGGACCTTGCTTTTCTACTTGGCAGGAATTATTTCTAACGTGGTTCAGGCTGGCTTCAGCGGTTGAAAGAACGTCACGACATCGTTGGCAAAGCTGTTACAAATGAAAGCAGAGCGGCGGACCTGGACAGTGTAGAAAAATGGCTCGAGGAAAACTGGCGAGATATTGCAGCAAGATATAGAGCCCAAGATATCTGCATTGCGGATGAAACCGCTCTATTTTGGCAAATGTTGCCAAACAAGACACTTGCATGTCGTGGCGACAAGCAAGCGGCGGCAAGACAAACAAAGCTCGTGTGTCCGTGCTGTTGGCAGCTATTTTAGACGGATCGAAAAAGCTTCGACCTCTGGTTATCGGGAAAAGCATGGCACCGCGGTGTTTTCGAAATGTGCTGTCGCTTCCAGTTACCTACCGAGCAAAGTCAAAAGCGTGGATGACCGGGGAGCTTTTCAGCAGATGGCTATCGTCGTGGAATGATGATTTGGTAGGCGAAAATCGCAAGGTGTGCCTGCTCGTGGACAATTGTTCATCGCACTACTGCAGTACGGCCTTCAGCAACACCGAGCTGCGTTTTTTGCCCCCGAACGCCACGTCTGTACTGCAACCACTGGATCAAGGCGTTATACGGGCAATGAAAGCCGGCTATCGAAAGCACCTAGTGGAGAGGCTGCTGCAGAACCTTCGTGTAGGTAAGGAGCTTAAGATCCACTTGCTTGGAGCTATTTCTATGTTGAGTAGATCGTGGGCAGATGTCAAGACGGAGACGATCCAGAACTGCTTTAGGCATGCCGGCTTCCGCATGCCTGGTGATGACACCCCAAATTCTGACAGCACTGAAGACACTGCAGGTGTTTCTGCAGAAGTTTGGAACGAGCTGGCAGAGTTCCCGGGTGCTATCGACAGATCGACATTCGACGAGTTCGCCAGTGCGAACGATGAAGTCCCCATCATGGGCCAATTACAAAATGAGGATTACATTTCAGACGTCGTGCCGACCACGAGCCAAAGCGACAGCAATATGAAAATCGACGACGGCCCATTGCCTACATCCTCCGAAGTGATTCGTGCACTTGCTTTGGTCTGGCGCTATTGCTTGATTGTGGAAGGTTGTGGCCTCAGCTGCTCCGACTCATTGGACAATGTTGAGGCGTGCGTGCTGTCGCAGGCAGCCAAGTCGTTGACACAGAAAAAAATCCGGGACTATTTTGTTCCACAGTAGGGCTCGCAAGTAAGCCCTACTCGCAAGTAATAAAGTACTTTTCTTCTAGTTTGTTATGTGCCTATGTGTCAAAACCTATACCGGGCCTATATCGAATTATGCCATATATCGAACTAATAAACGTTTTTTGGCGAGTTTGATATACCCGGGTTCGGCTGTATTCATTGCTGTCATAAACCCCTGCAAGAGAAGATTATCGTTCGTACGCGGAACGTTAGGTAGCACCAAAATCCCGGCGCACGTAGGTGAGCCAGTTGGTTTGCCACGTGGTACTTTTTTTGTATTTCGCGGGCCTTTGTAGTTAGCAGAAAAACGCTAATAATTAACAGATATAAAGTTCGAAATTGTCTAATCGGACATTTTGCAAGCTGATCTACAACTTTCTCATCGAAATTTTTTACCCATCTTTTAGATGCGAAGCATCTTATACTCGCGCCTTGTAGTGCGCCGTCCGCACCGCTTCTCGAACATTCGACAGCTGACGCGCGCGCATGCGCCGTCGCCCACTCTTCCACCATCTGTGCATCCCTTCCTCCTCTACACACCGCGCGCGCTTCACTCCTCCACCATCTGTGCACCCTTCCTCCTCTACACACCGCGTTCGACATCTACAATTCTCCTGATTCTCCAGTGGACGCGCATGTGGCGTCGCGCTTCGAGAACATTCAACAGCTGACAGTGCATGCGCCGTCGAGCTGTATATATACTCAAGGTCGGCGCTCGCTCGCTCAGTTGCCGCTCGTCGGTTGGTTTGTACGGCGCGTCGACGTCCAAGGTCGCGGTGAAATGAATTCCAACGAATCCACAAACACAATGATCGACGTCCCTTCGACCAGCGCCGCCCTTTCGCATACGTGTGTACGTGTTCACTCATTTAACACCCCCTCCTACAACCACGTTAACCAATTTAGCCATCGACCCAAGTAAGTCGCAATTTAACACCCCATTTCACAACCACGTTAACCAATTTAGCCATCGACCCAAGTAAGTCGCACTTTAACACCCCGTTAACCAATTATATGCTCCGCATCCTCCTCAGTGTTCCCCCGAGGGAAGCTGCGGGCAATTTTTTTTTTCTTCAGAAGTTAGTTAGTTAATAGGGTCAAATAAACAAATAATCAGGAAACAAAAAAAAATTGTCTGATTCACTTCAGACAACGGTCAGCAACAGCAACATGCATTTGACCGCGTCATAATTGCGTGTGGTCATATATTTTTAAATTCTGGCTATATATAGCTGCAGCACCCTGCAGATAAAACAGCACTGATTGTCAAATAGCTTTGAACTAATACTTCTCTGCAGTTTCCCCATGTCTCTACATTAGCAATGACATTTGATGCGTATAATTCCTTGACATATATACAAGCTGGTTTATATGCATGTGTTTATGAGCGTTCACAGTAGCTTTTAAATGTGTGAGTGTTTTCCTGCCAACTCAAAGAGAAAACTGCCTGTCCCTCTGTCATATATGAAGATCATCGCCATAAAGAAATGAATCAATGAAAAAAAGGATCTTCCCGTTGCAGAGGTCGCAAACAAAAACGACCTGTGCACCATATTTTGCAAGTAAGCAGCCATCCGATTGCAAAGTTGGAGCGATTTCTTCAGCAGCATTCTCCGCACGCCACGGACCGAAAATTGCAGCTCACGTTTTATTCAAAGAAGCAGAGAGCAAGCGAGAGTTCTTGTTCACCCCTGTTTGGTCGGCACATTATGTTGGCGCAGCGAAAGCCAGAGGACGCAATCATCAAGTGAGATATGTGTTCATGTATGCCTATTCGTGTAGAGTGGTAAAGTGTCACACCTTTAAGAGGCACGTTGATCTGTGGCAGCATGCTCAGATACTCGGCCTCCTGGTCATCGTCAACGGTCGGTGGCTCTGGTGCAGCGGACGAAGGCAAAGGTGGTGCCAGGCCATACGACGGATTGCACACGGGAGCGCCTCGAGCGGCGCCAGGACTCGCGTAGTGACCACCCACAGTGATGTTCTCTGGGTACGGGAAGAGCGTTTCAAGGGCGTGTCAAGAAAGTGGACTGACATAAAAACAACGAAAAATGTTTGCCCCTAGTGAATTCAATTTTCGGTTATGCATTCATCTCCGCAAACTTAAATCTCCGAGTTCAAAGAGTACATAGAAACGACACATTCTGTACATATCTTTGAAACAGCTATGCTGCGAAAGCTATGCACAGAGTTGAAAAAGAAGGAGCCACCTTCTCTTCTGTCAATCTTCCAACACTTCAATCATTCGAATTCTATTATTGGGCATATGCAGCATGTTTCAAAAACGTGTCCAATTATCCTAAAAAATAAGGGGAAATGAAAAAAAAAATTGCTAGCTGCTTTTATACTTACCTTGTCTTTAGACACGTCAATTACTGCAGTAATTAAGAGAAAGCAAATAAGTTACATTCAATTAGTACTAGTCATTTAAATAGAAGGGAGGAAAAAAATAGGAGAATCGGAAAGCTTGCCATAAAAATCTCATTGCCGATTTGAGACTTTCAAAAAGAGGACGGTGGTAGAAAGAGTAGCTTAGAGAAGCCTGACCGCTTTCGTCGGCAAAATCGAACCTAAAATGCAGAAGGGCGCCATTTCTATACTCTTCCGAAATAGTCACAATTAGTGAGGATCATTACGTCAACAACCAACAGGCTTCGCTGGGTGGATGCATGTGCAGACTGTGCACGTAAACGTGGTGCATGCATACGTTAATGAATTCAGAAGAACTAATACCACTGCACTTGTTGTAGTGAACAGTGACGTCATTCTGGTCGTCTGCAAGTTGAGCCTATCTGCGCTTTGGTTTTAGGCCATTGACCTAATTTCATTACATTGGAAAAATGATCAAAGGCCGCTTTTTCAAAACTTTAAAGCGGCGATGGGCCCCTCCCAGGAAAGTCTTCAATTCTCACGTTTGACCTGACCTCCTGCATTCAATCATTAAAAAATCAATTTATTTGATTTATTTACGATCTTAGCTAATGTATCCAGAAATCATAAGGTATAGAGAGCAAATATTCCACTTTCCTAATTCTTGAGGACTAACGGACACATTTCTTGAAACACTTTGTATATGCACGCACTCTATAACGTTGCTATTAGAAAGCAATGATAGGCGAAATTGATATAGTGAAATAACAGGCGGAGGAGCAGGACATCGCGCCAAGAGACACTGATCCATTAGCCACATTTGTTCTCTACGCGACTTATAGTGGGCTTCGATGAAAGCATTGATCGATTAGCTTCAAATCGGTAATTGAGCAATCACGGAGCTGTAAATTCCACTGAGATGAACATAAAAATCTTGGCAATTGGACATTTAATATGGATGCTCTCTGGCTGCCTAATCAATTTGTGCTTACCATAGTGCATCCGAGGCGGACTGCCTCTACCCGGGTTTGACTGGACTCGCGCAGGAGGGAGTACTGGGGCGTCTTCTTCCACCGCAGGTGTAGTCGCTCTGGCCTGCAGTTTTTTTTCTTTTATAGCATCAACGCACGTTTCACTTCATTTCTTCGCAAATGATATGATAATAAAAAAGGCAAAAGATAAACATGAGTTGTTCGTGAACATGGTGCATTTCGGTCATCAAGTCATGATTTGAAGGTTCTTGGTTACACACACACACACACACACACACACACACACACACACACACACACACACACACACACACACACACACACGCACGCACGCACGCACGCACACACACACACACACACACACACACACAAAGAAGATGATGCAGCTTCAAAAGTTGTCTATACAAAAGTATTTGCTGAATCATAACAGCGAATCTATTTACCGTGATCAAGCGCTCGCCTTTCTGTCAAGTATCACCCATATTTTCTTTCTTGTCTCCCTTTGTCACATCTGTTTTTTTGTGCAGTTAGTCTTACAAATGCGACTAAATACGCCGTTTTTCGGGTGTATAAGCATATAATTTCATAAAGATTCTAATCAGTGATGTAGCGGGTAGGTTGATAACATGCGCTTCTCTCAACTATATTTAACTTTGTGTTAAATAAAACACTTATAATTACGAGAGTAACTAGAAAAAAAAGAAGAAAAAGATGGATCCACTAAAATGCGAGGTAAAAAAAATTAGGATAACATTCAAAGTTATACTCCTACGTTTGTGGAGAATTGATTGAGAGCATCTCAACTTTCACACTCGGCAGAAACAATAAGGCCTCTTTTGTTTAGAAAAAAACAAGCACTGAGCTCTGTTAAGGGAAAATTCTTAAAATGTGACCCCATTCACACTAGGGAATACGGAAATCATGTGCTTAAATAGGAGCATAGGGGCCTTACCTGCTCGTTTCATGTGCTTGTGTGTGTGTTTGCGTGTGTGCATGTGCATGTGTGTTGTGTGTGCAATCTAACCACAATGTTATACAGATATTTGTAGGTTTGGGGGGGGGGGGCATTATTCATAAAAGCAACATCAAATGAAAGTAACCACAGATTTGTAGCTGTCAGCCTCAACATGTCTTGTACTCACACAACGTATCACCAAAGCTAAATCGGCATCCTGCTTTATTGACATTTCGGATGGTCACAACTTGGTTTATTATCTATGCCCTTGTCATGTGCAACTGATAAAGCGTCCACCTATTACTGGGATATTTGCGCGTGGAAGCAATCTTCTACTGTAAATAATTGATAAATTAAAGAATTGGCGCATCGAGATTAGAACCGGGAACATTCATTATGCATTCAGTCATTTGCCGAATGCAGACCTTCGAACAATCAAAAAGATTTTCATCCCATTATCTTGCTTGTGTCAAGCTTTTGTTGGTTCCTCCATGGAGCATGATGTAAAGTATAAAATTGCGTGATTCCCCTTTCTGGCTTACTTGAAAATCATTGATTGTGATAGCAAGCCGATGATGACCCGCATTCGATGCAAGCTGAGCAGGCGAGTGGCCTTTGCAGTTCAGCATCTGACAGCAGGCGGTGGCACCTGGACACTGCAGGAGTGCCTGGCTCAGTTCGTGGAGTCCGTAGTGTGCAGAAAAGTGCAGAAGAGTTGGCAAGAGCTCCTCACCTGCACCATGGCCCGAGTGAGCCGTTTACTTCAAGGGGTATATTAAGTATATAGCAAGCACATTTTGAGAAAAGATGCGTGAACACCTGCAACACTACAGGCTGCTACATCCCTCAATGAACCATTTAATCAATGTGCGTGCCATTCTGACTGTTGTGCGACTGACCAAGCCGCGATGACGACGCGTTAGTTATTGTTTCGAATGTAAACTGGAAGGATTAAGCTGAAAGCACGTTCGAAGCACAGAGCCCAGAACCATTGGCAAGATGAAGGAGCGAGACAACTTACAGCGCTTCTTCTCAGGGGCGGCTTGCTGTTGCGGCCCAAGCAGGTGGAAGCCCCTCGCGGGCAAGTTGCGGCGCAGGTTGGTTGCCAGCGCCATGTCCACGTCGTGTAGCGTGGCTAGGCCTAGCGTCAGGCTCAGCATCTCATACGGCGACGTGGCCGACTGGAGCAGAGAGTGCAGCTGCGACATCTGAGACTCGCACTTGAGCTGGCGCACGCCCAGCAGTGCGCCATCGCAATGGAGCTGTACGTTCACCACTTTCGACACCTGCAGGAACGTCTCTGCACAACGTGAAATGGCCGTATGTCAGCACTACAACTTTGCCCGCTTGCATGGGGTATTCTCCATAGCACGTGTTTTGCAAAGTACATTACACGCGAGAGCAGTTCGTGAAAACTGACCCTGTACAGTGTTAAAGGAAAATATCTCATTATTGAATCATTTCAACCGTTCCCTAACAACTGTCGTAAAGATCTGTGTATTCAGTTGCTGCAGCAATTGAACACAGAGTGGCAGCTGTTATAAAACAATTTACTGTCAACGAAAAATGACAGAGGGCGAGACGAACTTAGGTGTTTGCTCATTTTCAATGATTTATTCAACTAGTATACAATATATAATATGAGCTTCATTAACTTATCTTTATAAATTATTATGCCATGAAAGTTTACAAATGTTTCCAGTAATATGTGTGAATGAGTTGCGCACATAATAACAATATCTAATAAACGAAGGTCATGAAATTGTAGTAACAAACACCTTCTCTCTTTCTTAGCGGAACTATAGAAGGAGGGTCAGGACAAACATATTACGCGTCTCATACCTAATTTTGATACAATAAACAGAAAATAAGTTGAGCTTAAGCTACATAAGAAGCTACGTGGCACATTCTCGAACTTGCAACACCACAACAAAATTTTTCAAATAGCAGTTTGTATACACTCACCAGGAACTGTAAACTGTAGAATGTACGGATTCCTCCATTTTACAGGTAGCTCCTGCATCCCAGAACTCTCGAAGAGCACGTGAAACTTCTGGTTCTGTTCCACTGGCTCGTTCAGCATGGCAAACACCTTCGAGTTTCCCTGCATATGGACGAAAATGAAGGACAACTTTCACTAAGAAACTTTGTCATACATAAAACGAGGAGGCATATTCACCCCTTGTTCAGTGATCGGAACGTCGGACACACTTATTCAGCAGATGTAGTAAGCGCAAATGTGAACACCTCCAGTCGCTCGAAAGTCAGACAAGGCTGAAGAGGCTCTGACACGACAAGCCCCTGAACTTGACTCAAATTTTGGCCGACGACATTTCAGCAGAAGTTGCTCTCTGTAAAACATTTCTTCTCTGCATATCCAAAGTGTCATCAATAACCTAGTTGAAATTTGTAAATTTTGCAATGAATCAGTTGCCAATATTGGGCTTGACCAAGTGAGGACTGAAGTGGCGTTCTCGCGCTCTGACAGGGATCCAAACACCACTCAGCTGCTGAGGCACTGCTGCACTGATCACATGGATCAACTGGTAGTGAGCCTTGAATGCTATGAAAAAAAAAAGCAATACTCGCTACATTATACCGACCTACTATTCAAATATAGACAACGATCTATATGATGTATTTACAATTCATTAGTATGCCAGAAAGATAATTAAAATAAAATAATCGGAATAGCTACTGCAAATTAGTTCCTATGACTATATGAAGTATGCACAGGCAGAAACCTTTTACATTCTTTATTGACAAATTATACTCATAAATAATAAAACATTCTTGCATAAAGACAGTTTTCGAACACGCTCATCGCTATTCTTTAATTAAGCAAAATTTCCAATCAGTTATTTCACTGGATATGGAGGTTTCGTGAGTACCGGTCAATGCAGAAACTATTCCGATGCTTATAATGAAAAGTTGCAATCGAAATCAAATATTACATGCAGTTCAATGTATAAATCTTGCACTCATTAAGTAATTTACACGTGACTCGGTTCATGCAAACAATTACTTTATGGTGAACGATGTTCACACGATGCTTTTGAATAAATGTCGTAGGATGATTGCCTAGTGAAGTATACCCTTGTGCATAATAGAGAGTAAAACTGGAACCGAAGGAGCGTGCTTGAACTTCAGTATCCTCTGTGGGAAAGAAAGATCAAAGCCCGTAGGGCTATATACGCGACGCGGCTATATATATATAGCCGCGTCGCATATATATATATATATATATATATATATATATATATATATATATATATATATATATATATAAGGAAAGAAGTGTATACTTAAGGGCTCGTTTTTCTGTGTTTTACACAATATTGATGAGATATCTAACACACAATAATGCCAAGGAAAGTATAGGGGAAGATATTAGACCAAATTGTAATGTAAATATCAAGAAAAGTGGGTGACCCACGGCAAGTTATCTTTTCACCCACTTTTCTTGATATTTACATTACAATTTGGTCTAATATCTTCCCCTATACTTTCCTTGGCATTATTGTGTGTTAGATCTCATCAATATTGTGTAAAACACACACACACACACACACGCACGCACACACACACACACACACACACCACACACACACACACACACACACACACACACACACACACACACACACACACACACACACACATATATATATATATATATATATATATATATATATATATATATATATATATATATACGTCGCGGCTATATGACTAGCACATCATTTAACCAACATAAGCCAACTCTGGCCCAGATAATAGCCAGTACCCCCATAGCCAACACCAGAAAACATTAGCAGGAGCTTGTGAGTGCTGATAGTATGCCAAATAATATGGTGGCTACAGCCACGTGACTTCATGAGGCGTTACGGCACTGTCTTGGGATGGCACAATATATATAATTTCAGTTGGAAGTCAGACTGACGATGTTGCCATAGCCAGTTCCAAGATGTGGGTAGCAGAAACCAAGGAAGATATTGTATTTTATATTACACAGAGACTGGGCCAATAGAAATGCACAGAAGACTTCCTTAAAGGACTCACTGGGAGCGTATTAGAGCTGACTGGCTGTTCTGGGCGAAACCAGTGAAAGGGCCAGAAGGGCTCACCTGGTGCACTTTGCGCGGACAGAGGCGGAACTGGGCCGTTCCAGCTCCCGAGCCCCGCATGGTTTGATCAGAACGCTCCACAATTTCGCGAGCCGTCTCGACGAGTCGTATGACAAACTCGCGGTCCTGGTTGCGAGCCTCCAGCTGCGGCCACGATGAGAAGTTGGGGAAGGCGGCGCGGAGGGACGAGCCCAGCTCGTGCGGATCGACGCCGCACAGCATAGCCAGGCCACGATCCGCTTCGAGTAATCGACCCACCGAGAAAAGTTCAGCGCCACGCCGGTCCAACAGCTCCAACAGGTCTGGAGACACGATCAGGAGAGAGACCTGTGGTCGCGGAAGCGGGGTGTTAGCACTGATTTCCAAGTAGATGGTACAGCTGTGTACTATTGTGTACGATATATTATATCGAAGAAGGAGCGTTGATGCACAGATTGAAACATTTTCAAATAAACCACTGACGTTTAGGCAATGGGCCTGGCCTTCTTCGTATAGTTTAAAAGTGTTTGCACTTGAAGTTGTTGGCAAGCCTCCATAACAAGAAACAGCGTGGGGAAATAGGACAAAAAAGACCGACAGGACTCGGCGATGTCCAAGTCCCGTCTGCCCGACTGGTCGGATACGAACAGACTCAGTTATTCTCCAGCAGGCGCGTAGCCAGAAATTTTTCTCGGGAGGTGCACCTCCTTAATTTTGGGAGGGGCACCCACTTAAAATAGCCATTTTTCGCGGTCTATGCCATGAAAAAAAAATTTAGAAAGGGGGGGGGGGGGGGGGGGCACGTGTTCGGTGTGCCATCTTCTGGCTATGCCCCTGTTCTGCAAAGTTCAATGCGTAAGCTGCAATATTTTCATGTGACGGCCTACGCAGCTTGCGATCATTGAGCGAAAACCAACACCAACAGCGATAGCTTGAGGCGGACAGCCGTGGTTGCCTAGTTTGGGAATTCAAGGTATTGACGGGCTTGCATGCATGGACAGCCTTCAGCCACAGGTACTAAATTGGTTGCGAAAGTCCGTTTATCCGTTTCTTTACAACAAGTGAGGCCGACATGAATTGAATATAGAATGATCTTGGTAGCGATTATATACTGACGATTGAACGCCGTATAACTCATAGTTGTGTATTACACCAGTAATTTTTAATAACTTTCACATCTATAATTTGCAGAAACGATATGACTACAGAAAATCTACCACTCCACTAGAGTTTCAAGCTGTTGTTACTTCTTTCAAAATAAACCAAGTAAGGATATAGGCAACTTACAAAGAAGAGTTGTTAAATATATTAGTATGAAGCTGAGTTGAAGTGCCCCTATACAACATCTGTATATGCAAAGAATGAGTGAGGGAGTGAGAAAGACTTTATTTGACAAAGAACGAGTGCGTTATTCTCTCCGGACGTTTCTCGTCCTCGCGGCAGAATTCGCGACGCGAGCAGTTGGTTCATGTGACGTAAGATTGACATAATCTCTCTATTGGTCGATATACGTGAGATGTCTGTTACGAATTGTCGCCTACCATGATTTATCATGCAGTCGCATGCCCGTTGCACCTTCTCTCGCGTGACTACTGTGTGCGATCAACTGATTTCACATCATTTTCTGCATTTGTGACTGCGCAAGCAGTAGCTGCGTGTAGTTGAAAAGCATGAAATCATGACTATAGCTCAAGGTTTAGTGCTGACATTCCGTGTTTTATGAAGTGGCGAGAAGTAGATAGCCCCTGTAGGAAGGGTACAAGGCGATAAAGAAACTACTGTGCCGCCTTTTAAAAGCAGTGTGGTTTAGAGACCATTTAGAGCATTGCCCGCGGCCATATTTGTCACTTATCATTCTCGACTAGAGCATTCCCACACGGAATTCAGTTTAGCAAACTTTTTGTGATTTTCCAAGTTGCAAACAAACACATTTTTACAAGTTATCGTGCCGTTTCGATCTTGTCTACGTAATTCAGACGTCAGGCTGAGGAATTTCATGTATTTATTTTTTTTTTCATTATGTAAGGGGATTCAATTTGACGAATAAAAATTAATGTGGGTTTCGCAAAGGGCGACTCATGGAACTGGCTCTTATAGCTGCAAAAAAGAAATAGTTCTAAAGGTATTTCAATAAAAGCGCCACAAAATCTGTCTGGCTTTTCTTTCACTTTAAGCGATTTTAGCGCGCGATGCACCTAGTTTACCACAGCGCTCCTAGATGGCGCAACCATCTCAAAGTTGAGTAAGTGCGGAAGTTTGGCGCAGCATGAACGAGGAGTCCGTAAAGTACACTAGTTTAAAGCGTGCACAAATACTAAATAAGTATACTATGGATGGGTTCAAAAGCGATTAAACAGGAATATACAATTTCTTAGTTTTCCCTCTCATAACCATATGAAAGGCTAAAATGAAGCGGTAAGAATTCAAAGCGAGTTCGTAAGAGCAAAATACACGGAATTTGCCAATGTGTAAACTATTCGGAAAGCAAATCACAGATCACTATTAGGCTCTCTTAAGGCAGTACGGGAACGGTATCGGCAGCATGCAGTGGTTAGATAAGAAAATTTGCAGGTGTAAGTTATTCGTGCGACGAAAGGCTGACATGGATCCCGGATAAAAGCCCCTTTTCTTGTTGGGAACTATAAAAGGGATGATGACAAAGAAAAGAAAAGTTGGCACATAATCACCAATAACAACGGAATCTGTTGAGTAAATATTTTGCCATGATGACGTCATAAAAAGTGTAAAATTAAGGACTCGTTTTCTTTATTATGTACAATGTAAATGAGAACTAACAGAAAACGGTGCCAAGGAAAATATAGGGTATGTTATTAGAAGTAATTGTAATGTAAATCTGAAGAAAGCAAAGTGGTCGAAAAGATAACTTGCCACCAGGAGGTCCATGCCGGTGGCAAATTCTTTTCTTCCACTTTTCTTTCTTCCCATTTACATTTCAATTACATCAAATAACATCCGCAATACTTTCCTCGGTATCGTTTTATGTTGGTCCTCATTAATATAGTCGAAAAAAGAGTTGCTCACAAACAGGTAAAACATGACGATGCAGTACAATGTTGTTGACAGGTATCCTGTAAAGGAAGTCAAACGTATAGGAATTGGTACTCGGGAAAGAATAAAATTAAAATGTCAATGTTTTGTGTGCTACTATTGAAAGCGAAACTAAAAAGACATGGTCATATATAATGGTGTTTTTTTTTAACTTGCGAATGATTTATACATTATGAACATGGATCTTCAAGCAGCGTCTGAACGTAGTACACCTGAGCAGGCGATGGAAGGTATAGCTTGTGCCGTTATTTAAGCTCTCCAGTCAGTGAGCCAATCAAATATTAAATCGATTATACGAATCGGCACATTTTAACGAGCAGGGCGTCGATTGCCCAGTCAGGCCTATAGTCAGAATGCATACATTTTTTAATATTCCATGTATAAGCGATCGCCGTCGCTAGGTCATAAAGCGTATAAGTGCGTTCGCAAAAGTTGTTCCCGGACGAAGCGTTGAAAGACTCTGTGGCAGCGTTGCCGCCTATGATAAGAAGTGAATGTATGCGCATAGCAAAACGCCTTCGACATCTCCGAGGAAGGCAGATCTAGGAATACTGCTCGGTGCATCGCTTGCATGCAAGTGTTTTGGCAGAGCACGGGGCAAATGAAAACTGAGTCACGAAGCGAGTGCGCTTCCACCTCATGAGCATTCCATGGGTGCAGGTGACCGTGACGACGCCCGCTGCTGTCATTCACAGACCGAGCCGACTTTCAAGATGGCCGCATTCCTCGCGCACGCACTCTCTCCTTTAGAGCGAAGAGCCGCTGATAAACACGGGAATGCAAAATAAATTCTTATTATTTCGTCCCCAGTGAGTAAACACTAACCGTGTGCCCTCGTGCAAGGCGTCGGAAAAGCGCAACGAAGGAAATTGTTGAAGCAAATGCTTGAAGAGCGTCTCGTCATAGCATTGACCATGGTGGATGAGTTACCACGAAGATAAAAAAGAAATCGTATATATACTGCATGGAACTGTGATACCCATAAGGGAGGCAAGTGACGTTTTTTTTTTTGTCTGCCACGTTAAATGTAGGAACTATGCTGAAAGATAAATGTAGATCCATGAAACGAGAGAACCTTGCACCGGCGGGATGCAAGCCCACATTTTATGCATTTTGCTGACGCGATGCTTCACCATTTGAGCTAAGACACCGGCTATCCTCCTTTTTTTTTACATTTTCTTGGGTTATCGTGTACTAAATCTATTCCAGAGTGTTTACCAGCGCCAATCTCGGCCATGGCAACGGTGAGTCATTCATGACGACATGAAACGTCCTGTCAAATGGAGGCGTGTCGCTTATAAGGTGGACTTACCAACCAGCAACTGGCCAATAAGCCGTTAGATGTCAACTTCATTTTTCTTTCTTCTTGGCCACTCTGCTTAATTTTGTTAACACTCTTTTTTTTCTTTTCTTCTTTCTTTCTTTCTTTCTTTCTTTCTTTCTTTCTTTCTTTCTTTCTTTCTTTCTTTCTTTCTTTCTTTCTTTCTTTCTTTCTTTCTTTGCGAGCGTGATTTAATTTTGTGGTGATGATTTCGTGACAAGTACACAGCTACACAGGGAAAGAAGCTCACCATACCACGCTGCTCCCGCTGTGCAAGGGTTACCCTGCGCAAATGCAGCTTGATAGAATGTAGGCTTGTGCATGTTAGTAATTCATTTTGGTATTTTGGCGCACTTGTTAACAAAGTAGAGGTCATAGACACGACACGGAGTCAAGGACACACACGTTTTTAAATAGTCAAATGCAGCTGTTTTGTTAGACGACGTTAGATGGAAAAGTTAGTCACCTTTGACAATCAGGCTTGTGAGCTTTGTGTTACTGACAAGGAAAAAAAAAGCGGAGAGAGAGAGAGAGAGAACGCATAATAACCGACGTGGTATCTGAGGAACTTTAGCGTCTTTCTTCCTTTTTTACTGTGACTTTTATTTCGGAAAGATCGAGGTGCTGCGAGGAACGCATGCCGCGGTGTTCGGCGTCATTTCGGTAATCCCGGATGATTTAGATAAAATAGGTTATCTTTTCACCACACTGACCTTGCAGAGATAAGAAAGTATGGTTATTATGGCATGGACGCGCCAGTTCAGCTGGTCGGTGTTCCCCGGGACTACAGGCAGCTCGCAAACGCTCAAAGAATACGGAGCCCTCGATCGACATTTGTAAAACTCAAGTACGTCAAATGTTCGAAGGGGGACCGTTTTCAAATCACAGCATCACTACATTTCTCTCCACTTGTCTGGTTATATTAAGGTAAAATTAATTGATGATTGATTGATTTGTGGGGTTTAACGTTCCAAAACCACCATATGATTATGAGAGACGCCGTAGTGGAGGGCTCCGGAAATTTCGACCACCTTGGGTTCTTTAACGTGCACGCAAATTGAGTACACGGGCCTACAACATTTCCGCCTCCATCGGAAATGCAGCCGCCGCCGCCGGGATTTGATCCCGCGACCTGTGGGTCAGCAGCCGAGTACCTTAGCCACTAGACCACCGTGGTGGGGCAAGGTAAAATTAAAGGAAAGTAATATGGCTAATGGTAAAGCACTGTTTGGACCACAAGCAAAGCACTTATTCATTGAAAACATCACGTTGCAGCAAACAGGGCTCTCACATTCAACAAAGCACGTTGTAAGAACCTTGATTTCTTGCATGCGGTAACAGTTCATTTCATATTAATAACTTGTCCCAGAATGCAAGCTAAAACAGCTGGAAATCAAAGACAACTTGACATAGAGCTCCATGTACAGACAATGACAAAAATCATAAGTGATCTAGCTTTACGCACCGAAACCACGATACCATAATGAGGGTACGCCGTAGAGAGAGGCTCCGAATTAACTTCGACAATCTTTTGTTCTTCAACGCACACTCTCTTTCATTTAGATTTAATCGAATTCTGGTCGCCGCATCCCAGATTCGAACCCAGGTCCTCGAGCTATACATCTCAAATGCAAAGCTACTACAGCGGGTAAAACATGCAGGGTGAGTTTAAGAAGATCCGCGCCTCTTATTTTTCCAGGACATGTGCGTGAGGGGGTGACAAAAGAAGCCCGTAGGTAGGAGCCCCTAAGAACCAAACGACTGCATTAAGACAGTTAGCTATATTTTGTGCTTACTAACCGCCAGTTTTATGGTTAGGAATGTTAACGTCAGAAGTCGCTGGCCAATGGGAGACTGCCACGCTTACGAGAAAAATCGATAATGAATTCGGTCTCAGGTTACGCAAACTTACAGCGATTCTTACGGTGTAACAATATGTAAGAAAAGGCGCCCATGTAGCTCTGACGGCGAGTGCATCATTGGTGAAGGTGGCCAGTCGATGTTCGTATCAACGTTTATGTAAGACGTTTGTGTGATCATCCATGTTCACACGAACCTCTTACGCCAGAGGGCTTCGTAAGAGCACACTGCTCTGGTGTATTGACAGGCGCAAAGAAAACAAGCGCCACGCATGTGTGGCTGACTGCCAGCGCTTATTCGAGGCTTTTTAATCCAGTCACAACGATTCGACCGTCGACCCCTGAAACAATAATCCTATTTCTGCGCTCATAACTATCGTTCAGGCATTACATTGGATTAGGAGTCTACTAGACCTCTAGCTCAAAAGGCTACATGGGTTTGATGAAGCACATCATCAAAAGACTACTGAAATGAGAAAGAAGAAACTGCTAACAGCTGGCTTACCTTAGCCACTCCCAATGCCTTGGCCCTGTCCTGGGGTAATGGAAGCGAGATGGCGTCCAGGGCCTCCTGGGTAACGGTCAGAGCCTGCTGCCGGAAGCAGTCAGTCAAGTAGCTTCCCCACTCACGACCATCACTGCAAAACAGCATGCTCACGTCGGCCGCCATGCCCAGGCGCAACAGGGGGCCAGGCGAGTCCGTGGGCCCTGCAGCAGCGACGCGCACACATATAGCTGCAGCCCATCACCACGTGATGTCCTTCCAGCTGCCACAGAAAAACTTCCGACCTGTCAATGCTGCCACCGCGGCCACATGCGTTGCACTCTGCGTAGTGAGTAGCCCGTGGCCACCTTATTTTGGAAAGAAATAAGCAAACACCTGTTTTCTGACACCTGAGAAATCAAGAAGTAAAACCATAAATGACTTCAAAATTATCCGTGGCATTCACAGCGCAAATGTACCATCTTGACGCAAAGCTGTATCAGCAAATCGGTAGTAATAATAGAGTAAATTGGACGGCAACAGAAGACAGATAGGTACAAGAAACAAGCAGTACACTCGTATACGCAGAAATGATTTCGTTGAGTATATTGTCTTTGAACACAGAACAGAATACGCGGATGAATTTTAGCCATCTGATTTCAGCGGCCTGGTTTCTTGGTTTCCTCAAAACAACAGTTTTTTCCCCGGCTAATAGCAATACTACGGGGAATCATTTAAAAAATGCTTTGCCATAGCAAAAAAAAAAAAGGAGCATACCAACTATGTATGTGAGGCTTATTCGAAAGCGCCAATAATTGCCTGAGTTCAAACGTTAAAAAAACGATCATAAAATCTGATTTACCTATTCAGGTATTGTTCTTAGTTGGCCCTGGCGGTAATTATTTTTAAGCTTACAGTGCCATGGTTTAATATGGCGCGGACATGGGCAACAAGCATTGCGAAAAGCATCAACGTTGTAAAAATAATATCGTTAGTAAAGCACGCATTGTTTATGTTATTGCAACGCTGATGCGCGCAGCTAATGATATAACGCCGACTAGCATATTAACATTCCAAAAACAGCACAGGATTTTCTCTGAGATGAACTAAGTACCAACGGCACCCTTGCCCTTCTCCTACCTCAAAAAAGGAAAAAAAAAAATATACCGATGCTGCTCCCTCACTGTTGAAATAACACCCAATATGCCGTGCGCTGAATTTTCTTTTTTTTCTCTTGTCATAACGACAATGGTATGTAGTTGGGCGTGTTGGTTATTCACAACTAATAATATTGCATCGCGTCAGTTTTTAGGCGCTACGATATTATTAGTTGTCATAACGCTCACCCGCATGCAGCATTCCGCCAAGAGTGAAGGCAACGTGCAAGTGATAAGATTTCTAAACTATGAATTGGATACATTAACGCCCCCGTTCCCCAGCTTCCGTGTCCGCGTTTCTGTCTACGAATACTAGGGCATTAGCGAGGAAATGTCTCGTCCTCTATACACTGCAAAAAGGAACGCTCACAAGCTGGGAAGCAAACACGTACCGTATCCGACTATGTTGCTGTGGCGCAGAATGGGTGATGTTAGCTACACATCGACGCAAGGCGTCACGACCACGTCTTAGCCCCCATAGTGCACGGGCGAAGTGAAAGCCGGAGCTGAAAGTAACGCTGCTCCCAACGACGCCACTCGCGGTTTCCGGCGCCTGGAGCGGAGCTCTTGGCACGGGATGTGATTGCGTCAGGGAACCCCAAGCATTGCGCCGCTGGTGGGACACAGTTGGGAGGATTCGTAACAGCCTTCCTGCTCCCGGCCAGTGACCGTCAGTGCCCCAGAAATGCCGCGAATATTACACGGTTCCTTACAAGCACGGTTGTGTGTGGTACACGCGTATTGAGCAAACCCATGGTCCGGAAAAATACATTTGCCTGCAGAGGCCACACAGTACTCGCAGAGGTCTTTTGTTACCGAGTACGATCGAAGGGGAATTCGGAACCGAAAATGCGCATGTAGTTTCGGGGAAGATGACCCGAGTGTCCACTACGCTTCATTAGATTGCCCCTTGAGAATTGCATTGCGAATGTAGTATAAGTCTCCGCTCTTTGCCGGCAATCATTCAGAGCAACTTTTTCCAAAACACTCGACAATGAAGGATACATCGTCGCCTATATCTATAAACCCAACGAAGACATACTGTCGTCCTCCTCGATATTACAGTGGCTCAACTACTCGGTTGCTGACCCGTAAGTAGCGGGTGCTATCCCGGCCGTGGCATGTGAGATGGAGGGGCAATGCCAGAGGTTCGTGTTCTGTGTGATGTCCGTTCACGTTATAAAACACGAGATGGTCGGCATTTTCGAAGCCGTTCGCTACGTCCCTCAAAATCAAATCGTGGTTTTAGACGTAAAACCCCATATATTATTAGTTATATGTTTTATTGCCAATTTTCACGAAAGAGCCGTCGCATCCCGGTAGCACCACGAAACTCAAGATCCGTGAGGGTGAATTCCTAAACCACAGTATGACAGCGAAGTAAATTTGCTATAGAGCAAAAGATGAGTATCGACGTGGAGGTGACGGAGTTCCCACTGTTTCTTTCATATTTGCTCGACCGTGATGCCCCCTTAACACAGGTGTCGAAAATCGCCATATAAGTGGTACACCAGCTGTGCGCTATAGTTCACAGGATCGAGCGGCTGTTGATCCTTGTCTACATCAAGACAATAAATCCTCGTTTCTCTCTTGTTTCAAGGCCCAATAACCGTTAAAGGCTGGTGTCTAGAATCTTTTTTTTCTGTAACCAAAGGGTCCCTTTCTGGCAAAACTCGACTGCAGTAATTGTCCTTAGCCAACTAAAGGGCGACGCAACATATTCATATATCGCCAAGGTCTGCAGTAAGAGACAAACACTTGTCAACATTACAACCTTTCAATCAAACATTATACCAGATTATACTAACTCACGAGTCAGGATATATGGGACCCCCCGAATCACCTTCAATTAATACTTTAATCAGTAATTCCGAAACGCTGCCGTCATTGAATTGCGGTCGAGAGGCTTATCCCATGCATTACGAGTCGGAAGAGGCGAGAATGCGTTATGCCTCGCCGCGGTGGTCTATAGTGGATAAGGTACTCGGCTGCTCTCCCGCAGGTCGCGGGATCAAATCCTGGCTGCGGCGACTGCATTTTCGATGGGGGAAAAAAGCTGTAAGCCCGTATGCTCAGATTTGGGTGCACGTTAAAGAACTTCGGGTGGTCGAAATTCCCAGAGCCATCCACTACCACGTCTCTCATAGTTATATGGTGGTTTTGAGACGTTAAACCTCCCATATAAAATCAATTCATTGCCTCAAGTTATGGTATGTAACTGCGTACACGCACTATGGTTACACCCTTAATACAGCGCGTGCTCCATTACTTGCCAACACCCCGGTGAGTTTGAACGGTTCTATCGTTTTCCGTCTGGAGCATCCATGTGGAGAGGACTCCGTTTCATTCATCAGGTGCAATGCTGTGGAAGCTATCCAAGAAGTTCGGCCAGAAACATAAAGAAACATATTTACATAAATAGCGGACACTACCGCAGGGCCTTGCCGCCCAGCTACTGCGCTGCTTTCAGCACCACGAGTAGTTGGTCAGACCCGATAATGTCTTCAGCATAAATAAAATAACAAAATTTTCTTCTCTCCGACGCTGGGACTTGAACACGTATAACGTCATGCTCCGAAAGCTAGTGTCTTTACCACTAGGCTATACACCCATGCTTCCGCGAAGGGAATGCATTTACAACACATTTAAACCACATGAATGTGCCTTTGTGCAAAACAAATGCAGAAAGACAACACTTCCTAGTCATATTTTACTGTTTTCTGTTGTAAGGCATTAAATGTCCTCAGCGGGACTTGATGTAGAGCGGATATAGAAAATTGCACCAATTAATAAAATTTCTTCTTTGCAAAAAATTAATGCCAAACTTGGGTATTCATTGTCCTCCTGAAGAGGCTGTTACATGTCTTAAAAGCGAAGTAAAAAGCGAGGATGGGTACGCCATCTAGCGGTTGGTCAGACCCTTTCTTGGTGGGCCGCGAAAAGGCTCCAGTGGCCACTCTTTATATAGCATATGTTTCTATGAGCAAAACGTATAACTCCGCGCGTTTCGTGTCGCTCGCGTGACATCTGATTAGTGCCGGTGCACCCTCGCAAGTTGCACGTTTCTTTGTGCATCCCTTCGGCGCGATTAGCGAACAAAAAAAAAAAAAAACGCGGGCACAAAAGAACGCGGCTATCGAACGACCCTGTTGTGTCCTATCCTGCACTGCAGACGCTGCACCGTGCTCCCTAACGGGCTGCAGAAATTAGGTCTTTTTTTTTTTCCTCTAATCACTACCATCACCACCCACCACTGACAATGAAAGTCCAGGTGGCCGCCATCGTGGCGTTTGCAGTGTAGAGAGCCGCTATGTGACGTCATGTAAAAACAAAGCTATACAGCCACATAATAATGCAACGAAGATGTAGGTGTGCAACGAAGTTTTTTGTTTATAAGGCACACAATATCTTCTATTACTTCTCGCTCTAAAAACAAAATAAAAAATTAAACTTTTCGTGGTAAGAGCATTGAACTACTTTTTGTTGCGAACGCGTACGACTGCAAGAAGGCTCGCCAGATTCCGCAACGTTGCACGTGATGTGTGAAACAGAGTATACGTATCGCTGCTTCTAGAGTGCCCAAGAAGGCCCACAAATATAGCTTAGAACGCTTGAAAAGCGCGACAAGGAATAGCGAAGGCTCAACGTAATCGCCCATGTTATGTCCCGCTCCTTTGTTCTGTAGAATTTTAATCGCTTTTACATCTGTAGCAATGGCATATCAAGGACGAACGTCCATCCTCGTACAACTACGGTTTAGACTGACGCTCTTGCCCCGCACGCTTACAAGTCACAACACAACCACGTGTGCGTTACACTGCCTGCACGCTGCGCAACGTATCAAAACACACCGAAGTTGAGAACCCTTGAAATAAGCCAACGCACCTGAATGTTGCTGTCGGACCGGCAGTCCGCGGCTGGGCATAGCGCCTGGCAACAATCGACGACTGGGGTCCGACGGGCGCCGCGGCCCTCCAGGCACGACGTTTGCGGGCATTATGACAGCGAAGAACGCGAGGCTTCGTATTCGGCTCTGACGCGTCTCCGATTTCGCGTTTCCTCGGTGC